TTACTATGCTTACTATGGGGGAATATTACTATACTTACTATGGATGACACATACACATCATTCATCTACTCTTGGTCCGGCCCCCGGGTCCAATATATGAACCCATTGCGGCTCTCAAGTCAAAAAGTTTGCCCACCCCTGATCTAGAAGTATGTGCTGTGAGCTTAGTAGATGTGGATTTATGAGATCTTGTATCCTGCAGTTAAGCAATGCGGAGTTCTGCCTTATCCTTAGCATCTTGCACAAAGAGATCTCTTTGTTGGTTTAGTGCATCTGTCTTAGTTCTCCTAAAGAGCCCTCCATATTATAGTGCTTTAAGAAAGCTGTGTATTTTGCAGACAGCAACTGATAGCGTTCGTACGGTGTAGATAGGCGATCTATAGAGTCTCTTAATTCAACTGGTTGATCAGATTGCTGGAGAATCTCTAGTATTTTCATAGTTTTCTCTAAGTATTTGTGTTGCTTTTATTGTGCGTTTGGATATAACACTTTGCTCTTAGCTGCAGATTCTGCTCCCTGTACATTTGTGTGGTCAGAGGCATGATGTATCTGAGTGGATTCAGCAAAAATAGAGTGCTCAGAGCCTTGTGTGGACAGTTTTCAAGTTTTGAAAAAAAATGGTTACTGTATCTTTAAGAAGGTAAACAGCAGCTTAGACAGGTGGGATACCAGTCCAATGCAGAGAAACAGTTTTCAACATTCACAGGTGAAGTGCAGTAAGCTTGTACGACCATGTGCTTTCACAAGATGGAGGATGGCACTGAACTTGATTGCATAATTAGACACACGCATGTACACAGCAGGCTGTAGGAATTCTACCATGGCTTGACTATTCTGACTCCTACTGTTGTATTAGTGACTTAGGCCTTGCTGAAACCTTTATACCTTGCCTGTTAAAGCAGATACAATCACCACGGACAGTCTTTACCAGATTGCTGAATTCTCCAAACAACTCATGAAATCTTTAATGCATGCAGCATGTTAACAGCAGGCAGCAGATCATTGAAAAGATGTTATTTGAGGGTCAAAACATGGCAATATGTTCCCAAATGTGAGCAGATTACATGAGTTCTAGAGACAAGCGGCCATAGTCATCTCAATAAAGACAGAGTGAAAAGGAAAAGGAAATACATCACTAGCTAGTGGGAAGGAACACAGGATGGAAAAAGATGGTACAATAACCAAAATATCCACAAAATGGCAGTATCTTAACTCATTATACTGAGGCTAATAAACAATGGCTTAAGGAAAATTAACTATAGAAATTCTCAATTCACAGTAATATGAACATTAATCATGACTATGCATTGTATTATATTTTTACACAAGTGTAACAGCACAAGAATTCTAGTGACTGCTTGTTGTTTAACCCCTTGTGTGACTGTGTCAATGTTGCTAAAGTGGGATCTGCTCTTCTGGGAGTCCCAGAAGTGCTGGTATCTCTAGTCTTTGCAAAGAAGATTGTGCCTCTGAAGAGAGTAGACAAGAGTAGAATATAGAGTGTCCTTCCAAATACTTTGTGCATTAAGTTCTGGAGTATCCCAAAGCTTGTTAGCACGCTATTCAAGTTTAACCAACAATAAAGCAAAAAACGTCATCCATTGCCTGGTCCAATTGTTGTGTGCCTGACTAACTAAGGACCCAGATGGGAAGAGAACCTGGGACAAATGTGAAGGGCCAGTTGGAGTCTGCTCTACAGTAAGTTAACCCCATCAAATGCACAAGGGTAGGAACACAACGGTATTTTATGATTAAGTATAAAATCAGCCGTGATCGCCACAGGAAGCAATTAAGTGTTACTTCTCATTTTAAAAGCCAAGCCAAGTTTCATAACTGAGAAACGCAAAGAGCTTATGAATGACTATGTGAAGATTTTGGCAGTCAATGAATTTTCTCACTCATGCGAATACTCCCAAAAGTTCAATGATCACTATTTCCTTTTATACACTGAAATGCAATGCTCTTTTGAATATGTTTACATCTTCTATATTTGACCCACTATGGATGGTGATGAACTATACTGAATCTGTAGACACAGGATAGTCTACGATTTGTTATCAGGACTATTTTGGATACTGATAAGAAGGTTGGTAGGAAAAGGAGTTGTAAGTTTCGAACCACTTGATAAATAGAGGTTCAAGTCCTTACAGACAGGATGTAGCTTCAATATTATACCCATTATTTCTGCCACTTCCTATGGCCTGATTTCCTTTAACTCAAGTACAGTCTATGAGAACTGTTTCTTGTCAGTAATTTATTGCAAGAGTCTGTAAAGAAAAGTTTACATATAGGTTGTACATGTTGTGTTTGATGTAGATAACAGATTTGGTTATTGTAACCTTGGGATATTTCTTTACTATTACAGCATTCTGATTATTGCAGCTCATTACCTGGAGGGTATTTTGTATCTGTAATTAAACTTACTGCCTCCCTGTGTAACACTGTGGGGCTTAATGAATTGAGAGCAATTTGTCTGTGTGGCCTGTATGTTTTCTCAGGTTATATACTTGTTTCCTCCAAGTTCTTTGCTTTCCTTCCATGTTTCGAAGATGTAATGATAGGTTTATAAGTGTATGATGAAAAAAGTTGCCATAGTGCATGTTTGTTTATCTATGTTGAGGAATTTACGCTGTTAGCTCCCCTATATCAGAAATTATGTAAATGTTTTTTATGGAGTGATGCAATATTATTTACCCAGTATATGAATAATAAGTAGTATTAAAGTAGGTCTAAACCAGCCATTCTCAACTAAGGTTCCTCCAGAGGTTTCCAGGGGTTCCTCGGACTGTAGCTGATTGACCTCTCTTTTGGTGGTGCCTACATAATTTTGGGTCCAACGCCTCTTGGCAGAGCCAGCGGTACAACACTAATGATCTTTTCAACTGTCTGTAAGAGTAGAATTACTCCTACTAATACCAAATGAATGCATTTTAGCAGGGGCTCCCTGAGACCTGAAAATTAATTTCTGGGTTCCTCTTAGGTAAATAGATTGAGAAAGGCTGGTCTAAACCCCAACTAGATGACATTCAATTTGCTAAAGCCCTGATAATCACTGTTTTTTTCATTTTAGAATATTCTGTTTTATAATTTTTTGCATCTTTGCTCTGCTAATCGTCTTCAGTCTCTTTGCAGCCACCTGTTGCCTGCATGCATGCACCCCAGGGTAAGCTTCTTGATGGCATAACATGCCTACACAATGACCATTACCATTATCTCTACTGGAAATGCAATACACAAACCAGGAGAGCATTGGTGGAGAGGAGACAGGGACAGAGTGTCCTCACTCTATAATATCAGGCACCTGAACAAGGACCTTCATGGCAAGATTATCAGTTATAATTTGAATGAAGACTGCAGATGTAAAAAGACTGAAAACGATTTTTGAAAGTACATTAAGTATTAAAATTATATGAGATTTTAGTAGTTGGTTTTAGATCCACTGTAAGATAGGATGTGTTCTGTAACTTAAACTACCCATAGATAGATCAAAATTCTGCTGGTCCAGAGCCCACCCAACAGAGACCAGACAGATTTCAGTCCATCTATGGCCATTCTCACTCAACTGAAGATGATCTAATGATTTTTAAAAATATATTTTTTTAAAATATATTCTTCAGATTTTTTTTTAACATATAAAGTCATTTTAACATATAGTTTTACATATATTTGTAAATGCATTCAAAAAATGTAGATTTGTATTCTTAAAGACATACAGTATATTTGAAATGTATTCTTAAAAATATTTTTCATATATTTTGTAATAAAAACGCATGCAGTGTATGTATATATATATATATGTGTGTGTGTGCGTATTTATTGAAATATATTTTGAAATATATTGAATATGGTCAAAATTGTAGCATTTCAAATATATGGTAATATATTTGGGAAGAATATTTTTAAAATATATTACAAATATATTTTTCTTCCAAGTGGGTCCCATCCATCCATTCCTGATATCCATCTGGCACCGTTATCCTACAGCTACAGAGGTTGGGCTCTAACAAGCACACCTTATATAATATACTGTATTTTTCGCTCCATAAGACGCACCTGACCATAAGACGCCCCTAGGTTTTAGAGGAGGAAAACAAGAAAAAAATTATTCTGAACCAAATGGAGTACTAAAATATTTAATAAAACATACAGAATAATGTTTCAACCATGTAACGTGAACAGCAGTCAACAATGACATTTAGAACCATCATCACTGTCATTAACAAAATGAGGACAGGTTTGAAGGAATTGCTAGTAATGTGTCCTTCATTGTTATGAGAGCACTGTAGCTGAGAACATTACCCCCCATGTGCACAGCAGCGCGGCCACCAGCACTCGCTCCTCCCACGGTATAACATGCTCATTCACTGAAAGGCTGGCCTGGCACCAGGGCTGTCTTTAATATTGATTGGGCCCTGGGCAAACATTTTCTTGGGCCCCTCCCAGGAGATGACCAGAGACTGCAGACATACTATAGGAGATGACCAGAGACTGCGGGTGTAGTACAGGAGATGACCAGAGACTGCGGACATATTACAGGAGATGACCAGAGACTGCGGGCGTAGTACAGGAGATGACCAGAGACTGTGGACGTAGTACAGGAGATGACCAGAGACTGTGGGAGTAGTACAGGAGATGACCAGAGACTGCAGACATACTATAGGAGATGACCAGAGACTGCAGGCGTAGTACAGGAGATGACCAGAGACTGCGGACACAGTACAGGAGAGATGACCAGAGACTGCGGGCGTAGTACAGGAGATGACCAGAGACTGCGGGCGTAGTACAGGAGATGACCAGAGACTGCGGGCATAGTACAGGAGATGACCAGAGACTGCGGACGTACTACAGGTGATGACCAGAGAGTGCGGACATACTACAGGAGATGACCAGAGACTGCAGACACCGTACAGGGGATGACCAGAGACTGCAGACACAGTACAGGGGATGACCAGAGACTGCGGACGTACTACAGATGACGACCAGAGACTGCGGACGTACTACAGGAGATGACCAGAGACTGTGGACGTACTACAGGAGATGACCAGAGACTGCGGACGTAGTACAGGAGATGACTAGAGACTGCGGCCGTAGTACAGGAGATGACCAGAGACTGCGGACGTACTACAGGATATGACCAGAGACTGCGGACGTAGTACAGGAGATGACCAGAGACTGCGGACGTAGTACAGGAGATGACCAGAGACTGCAAACACAGTACAGGGGATGACCAGAGACTGCGGATACAGTCCAGGGGATGACCAGAGACTGCGGACACAGTCCAGGGGATGACCAGAGACTGCGGCGGACGTACTACAGGAGATGACCAGAGACTGCAGGTGTACTACGGGAGATGACCAGGGACTGCGGACACAGTCCAGGGGATGACCAGAGACTGCGGACACAGTACAGGGAATGACCAGAGACTGCGGACACAGTACAGGGGATGACCAGACCAGAGACTGCGGACACAGTACAGGAGATGACCAGAGACAGCCGATACAGTCCAGGGGATGACCAGAGACTGCGGACACAGTCCAGGGGATGACCAGAGACTGCCGACACAGTACAGGGGATGACCAGAGACTGCGGACATACTACATCATATAAAGTCCCAACAGGGCCCCTCCACCCAGAATATCAAATGATCTGACCATACATCAAGGAAAAGGACTACAACTCCCAGCATATCATTTTTAACTTACAGAAGGCAGGGGGCGCACTGAGCTCCGAGGACAGGCCACACCAGCATACAGGACCGGACTGCAGAGCAGGGAGCGCACTATGGACACATGCCAGGAAAGGGGAGGAGCTGTAAGGACAGGCCACACCTGCGGACCGGACTGCAGAGCACGGAGAGCAGTACACAGACATGCCAGGAGCAGGGTGGAGCTCTGAGGACAGGCCACACCTGCAGGGCGGACAGGCAGAGCTGGGTTCGGCGGGGGACTGCCTGCTATGAAGAGCTGCGGGGACAGCCCACTGAGAGATGGGATAAGGTAGGGAGAACGTCAGTGACAGGCTGCAGTGGGAGGGGACAGCCGCTGGCCCTAACACGGCGGCGGTGACAGGTGGAGGACTGTCAGTATCCGAAGAGAGAAGGGATAAGGCAGGGAGAACATCGGTGACAGGCTGCAGTGGGAGGGGACAGGCTGCAGTGGGAGGGGACAGGCTGCAGTGGGATGGGACAGCCGCTGGTCCTAACACGGCGGCGGTGACAGATGGAGGACTGTCAGTATTCGCTCCATAAGACGCACAGACATTTTCCCCCATATTTTCTGGGGAAAAAAGTGCGTCTTGTAGAACAAAAAATACGGTACATTTTCTAGGATTCCTCCATGTACCTTGCGTTTGTGGATGGGTGAATCCTTTACATAGTTACATAGTTGGTAAGACAGAATAAAGACACAGTCCAGCCAGTTCAACATGTGTGGGTGTGTGTTTAAAACAAAACATTGCCCATATCTCTGTATATTGTGTTCATCAAGATACCTGTCCAAGAATTTTTTAAAACTATCAATGCTTCCTGCTGCCACCACCAATTGTGGAAGTGAGTTCCACATCCTTACCGCACTGACAATGAAAAACCGATTACGCAGTTTAAGGATTAACCCCTTCTCTTCCAATCTCATTTAGTGGCCCTGTGTCTTATTACACTCCCTGAAACTGAATAGTTTGTTCCCTATACTAGAATCACCATTACGATACTTGTATATTGCTATCATATCCCCTCTCAAGCATCTCTTCTGCAGGGAGAATAAGTTTAGTGTTTGTAATCATTCCTCATACTGAGGTCCTCCACTCCCCTTATTAACTTTGTTGCCCTTCTCTGGACTCTCTCCAGTTTCCGCGCCTCCCTCCTGAGGATTGGTGACCAGAACTGGACAGCATACTCCAGATGTGGCCAAACCAGAGTTTTGTAAAGTGGCAGCATTATAGTTTTATCTCTTGAGTAAATTCCATTTTTAATGCACGCTAATATTTTGTTTGCTGCAGCTTGGCATTGATGCCATTGCTGAGCCTGTCATGTACTAGGACCCCTAGATCTTTTTCCATCCTGGATTCCCCTAGAGGTTCTCCTCCTAGTAATTTTCATTCATATTTTTAGCCCCCAAATGCATTTTTCAACATTAAACTTAATTTGCCATGTATTTGCCCACGCCATTATTTTCATGAGATCTTCTTGTAAAGTTTCTATATGTTGTGAAATTATTGCACTACTTAGCTTTGTATCATCAGAAAATACTGAGATTAAACTCTTTGTACCTGCCCCAGAACAGAGCCTTGTGGTACCCCACTTACCACTTCAGTCCATTCTGAGTACTTTCTATTTATTACCACCCGTTGGACACGTCCCTGTAACCAGTTTTCTGTCCATGAACAAACCCTGTAGTCCATGCTTATAGATCTTAGTTTGTAAATTAAACGTTTATGTGGAACTGTATCGAAAGCTTTTGCAAAATCCAGATACACCACATCCACTGCCCTTCCTTTATCTAGATGGCAGCTCACTTTCTCATAGAATGTTAACAGACTGGTTTGGCAAGAACGACCTTTCCTAAAACCCATGCTAATTACTACTAATTATACTGTTTTCTTCAGCAAATTCTTGGATATAGTCCCTTATCATCCCCTCAATTAGTTTGCATACTATAGATGTTAGACTGACTGGTCTGTTGTTTCATCAGGTATATGTCTCTGCCTTTTTTTGAATAGTGGTACCACATTGGCCCTTCTGTTCATAAAAATTAGGTATAGCAATATGGCTATAAACTGAGTTCTTTGAGGACTCTTGGGTGTAAGCCATCTGGTCCTGGTGATTTATTTGTGTTGAGATTTTCTAGTCTTTTTTAGACATTGTCTTCTGTTAGCCACAAGGTACGTTCTGAGGTGTGTTGCTAATGATACATTCCTGTTTACTATACGTATTCAATACAGTTGCCTTCTGCTTGTCACTTGTAACCACCTTCCCTTCATCATCCTTTGGTGGGTCAATATTTTCAGACTTTCTTGGGATTATTTTTACTCTCCTCTACTATGTGTTTCTCATAGTCTATTTTAGCCACCATGATTGGTCCCATTCAATTTCCTGTAGTATTGAGCGTAGTTTAGAAAAGGGCTCTTTTGAAGTTTAGTGTTTTAATACTACCCCTGTGTCTCCTTATCCTTTGACTTATGCTGAATGTAATTATCATATGATTGCTGTTTCCCAAGGTGGCCCTTACTTCCATATCTGTGACCAGATCTGTGTTGTTTGTAATTAATAGATCTAGCACGGCATTCTTCCTACTCGGGGAATCCATCAACTAGCTCATGAAGTTGTCCTGTAAGACACTTAAGAAATGCCAGGCCTTAAATGAGTGAACAGTTCCTACTGCCTTTAATTTTTTTTGATCAGCCTTCTGTTCTGTTGCGTGGCGATGGCCCATTCTGTCACCAGGAGTGAAGTGGTGCAGGACTGGTGAAGGGGACATGGGCTCTGTAATGTCGCTCTAAATTCAACACTTACAGCTATACAGAGTGAACGGCTCATCTCTAAGTCAAGGTGCCACCATAATGTCACTGCACATGAACGCAGTTCCCGCCTGGTCCTAGGCATTGATGAGCTTGCCCACAAGCAAAAAGGTACCCCCACATGCACGGGTGTAGGCCCTGCCCACATGCACATGATAGCGTATTCATAGTGAACATAGATTCATCTTATTTACTTTGCAAAGTTAATATTTATTTACTGTGAAAAGGGCACAGCCTCTATCCCTGACTGTGGTGAGACTTGCATATGGGTGGGTGGGGCTTAAGGCACCCTAGTGGTGATCCAGTGGAACTGCACTCACTAAAGCCTAAACAGGCAGGGAGCTGCGGTCTTGTGAAATCAACATTAAGGCAGGTCACCCAAACTTAGAAGTCAGCAACATTTGCACAGTTGACTGTGCACAGTTAACAGTAGCCCATAACCAAGCTTGTTACACTGTTAATACTAAACATTCTAGAGTCTAGACTAAACTACTTGTTAGAGAACACCACTTCCCAGGTGTGCAGCATTCAGGAACTGGTACCACAGAGCCTGTACCGATCTCCACAAACACAGCAATTCCTTGTCACCTCACCCCCAGTGACATTTCCAACTGTTGCTACTGGATACAGAAAATTAACTCCCACTTTTACTACATGCTTGTTCTCTTCCCAAGGCCTTGCTACATTTATCTTTACTGTGACTCCCAGGCTAGGTCCCTAGGTACACTGTGCCATGGATCCAATCCCATAGCCGATAGTGAAGGGGACCAGCATAACCCCCTTCACTACCATCACCCTTGCAAGTTACCCATTCCCTGGCTGGTTGGCTGCCTTTAGCAAATGATACTGTACATATAAGGTTGTCCCTAGCAATGGCAATATAGCCTACACTAAACAGCATCCTACACGCTGGATTCTATCTATTGTATCTCTCTAACTCTTTAGTCCCCTGATGAAAGCCCTGTTTTTTGATATGCCATGCATCCATCACTTTAGTAAAAAAAGCATGGTGGGACATAAAGCAGCTGGCATAAAAGGATGAACCCCTATATCCTCAAACATATAAAAAAACGGGAATGCAGCGCTATAAATATGATGAAAGCAAGGCACTAATGCATAAATGAATAAAGTGACAATATTGGCATATGCAAAGTGAGGCGCTTAAATTAAGCACTGATGTGAATAATATTCCATAAGTGTCTCGCAGCGAGAAAGTGTGATATTAATAAATATAAAGTGACAATGGTGAACAGTTCGATATAAAATATGATCATTTAGGAAAAAATGGCAAAAACAGCAAACTGTCCAAATAATCTCCATGATGAATAAATGAAAGTGACTCTGTGCTAGGAAATGCTGTATGAATGCACTTACCAAAAGCGCATATTAAATACGCATAATAATATATCCAGCTCTTCCACAGGTAGGGAAAACTTCCATCAGTAGGATCATGGTATGGAGACAGTAAAAAAAAAACCCTGGCTTTTCACAGCGTTACAGGGAAGACATCAAACACCACCACTGGCCTCTAGCTGGCCTCTAGCTGCATTACAGGGATGGCTCAAGGTCCCTCTCCACCATGGACAGAGCCGGCAGAAACGATATATTCCACCTTAGGGAAAATAGCTCGCACAAACGAGCCATGACAGGAGTGCTAATAGTGTAGTAGTTTTATTATTGCATAGAGTTAAAAAACAGAGCAAATGAACATAAGCTGGCAGCAAACACTCACAAAAATGGCCGCCAGACCTCCGTGAGGACGTTGTGGCGTGATGTCAGTACGGCAGGCTCCTTCCTGATGCGTTACGTGCGCATGCACGTTATCAAAGGGATATGCCTGTTACTGATACCATAGATGACCTTATATAGCCCCGAGCACGTGCATGGTCGGGCGCCATTTTAACGAAGACCAAGCGAGCAACACACCACTATCTGGAAGGACCAAAGCCAAGAATACACAAAACAATACATGTAAAGGTAATATATTAATTCCGGAATCTATTTGAAGTTCCTAATGTATACGGGAATGCTTTTACAGCATAATAGAAATGTAATGTCAGGAAAAAAACCCATAAAAGGCCGCGGTCGCCATATTGTTTTGGTTTAGAGGACCACAAGTACCAGCGGCTTTGAAACTTACATAAAACAGCTGGAATGGAATGAAAAAAATTATTAAAATAAATAAAGATGCGTTTGGTACATCAAGGAGTGACACATGGGCCCTGATTTACTAAGAACTGAGTCTACCAGCAGACACTGAACATTCAGGCAGACTCCATTAAATCAATCTAGACCTGTCAGTCTTCTGAAAGGCGTCTAGCAAACTCATTGAAAAGCGTCTACTTTGTAGACTCTTTCCTGTTAGTAA